ATGTTTTCGTGGAGGATCTGTTTATGTTTCGTTTCGTTTCGTTTCAAAGCAAAGGGAAACCTCCAACGCTGTGGGGATGTCTTTTTGATATTTTGATTACAAGCAAAGGAGCTTCGGCTCTCGGTATGTTTTAATACATTTCGAAACTTTAATAGGAGTTTAAATAAGAGAGATATGAGTAGACAAACTAGTGCAAGGCAAACAAACGCCCAAACACAAGCTTGGCAACCGAACATACAAATGGTCGAAAGAGCAGGAAGACTCTCGCTGCCCAAGTAGCGAAAGCAGTTTAAGCAGAAACGGCAACAATGCCAAAAGCAACATCGATCAAAAAACAACTTAATATTTAACCTAGGAATCTCGCGAGAATTAAGATTCATTCAGTTTGTCTATACTGTCAGAAATATCCCAAACAGAATACGTATGACAGTGTCAAAATTTGAAAACGAAATTTTAAAAATTGACCGTCGTATAGTTCACGTTCTCTCGAATATGCAGAATGTGGCTATTTCACGTCACGTTGTTGTTTTGTGATCTTTTGTAAACAACGGCAAAGAAATGAACAAAGAATTATAACGCACACTTACACAGCCATTTTACTCGTTGCCGTTGCCGTTAGTTTGCTTAATTAAACTCCCTAAAACCGAATAACCAGACAAATAATGAACAGCCAAACGAGCATAAAACAAACGAAAGCCCGGCCGAACAAAAAGACGGCTCAGAGTGCAGAAAACATCTCTGCTCTGAAACGAAATCAAAGCATATAAAATGACGTTCTCGCTGTTTCGTCTCAGGTAGTTTCGAGGAAATCGCTTCGGCTGCCCACGCATCGCGCGAGTAGTATCCTCGCAAGAACTGGGTACCATTTCTGAAAATAACTTAAGAGGGATTACCTTAATTAGAGGACCTATATGGGTGATTCACTCTCTTACCTTGATAATCTCTTGGTTTTCATAATGTGCAAACCGTACAGCTTGATATTTAGAGGCCGAGGTTACAGCAATTTCTTGAATTAACTTCCGAGACTAACAATTGCCGGCTACTGTTAATAAATCCACTTAAAATTGGACCGCTTGATATAGCTTTCAAAGTATCTGTGAGAGGTAATATTTTACTTACCACTCCATCCAGATATATGTTCGCTTCCATTATCAACCAATTATCTCCCTTGTTTCCGGACGTAGAAAGAACTTTGGTATTTCCACTGTAGACATTAAGAGTTCCAGCCGACGCCCCATACATGTGATAGTAAAATGATAGACACGATTGATTTCCATTATTTGGAACAGTAACCACAAGTTTTGCAATTTCGCCAGGCTTTCTCGGGGAGGACGCCTCGATGAACATATATTTTCCTGTAGAAATAGGTAATATTAACTACACAAAAAAAGATTTAAAATAAATGAATTGATTCATTGATTTATCAATTAAATAATTCGTAGAGCTTTAATACTTTATCACTAAAGCTAAAACCACAAATTTAGGCTTGGTTCAGTTCACCAAATGCCGAGAAATTAGCAACTACATGTAAGTGCAACGTGTCCATATATATTCTGGAATTAGGTGCTCAATAATGCTCTGTAATGAAACAACTCACTCATATAGTTTGAATGTCAAAACCATGAATCTAGTGTACCTTAGACGTACTTAATTAGGATTAGGTGTATTTTGTTCTTCTTTTTTTTTTTAAGCAAATTTGTAATACTGGTAGCATTGTAATTTTTCGCTTGTAACTGCAACTACAAATAAAACGAATAAAGTAGAAAAACACAAAACAAAAACAAAAACAAAAACAAAAAACATGAATCTGAAACTCGGCGGACATTATCCCTGTATAAAATATAACTATGAATCTACACTTGTTGTTGTTTTTTTTGTTTTGTTTTTTTCCCCACCGGATTATTTAAGTAGTTCTAGGTTTAAACCTTAGCTTTAGCATCACGTTTCTAGCTTTTATTACTTCACTATTTTAGACATTTAATGTATATTCTAGACTTTTAGTTTTTAGAGGACCCTCCTGAAAACCACCTTTGGGTGATTGGAGGCCTCCTCTTAAAATATTGTTTTATTATTTATTATTATTACTTTTACACTTCATAGTAAAAGGATCAATAAATATATCTCCACATTCGTAGAACGTCACGATACGTCAGTGGGAAAACATTTTACACTGTTTAGGAAAATCAAACAAAGAAACCAATCTAACCTGAACCCCCTTGACCGTGGGCTGGACCTGTAGAAGAGGAAGGCGTCGAACCATAGGCCAACGTCCAATTAAAATCATCTGCAGACGATTGATTCCATCCAGAACACAAACCGTGGTCAAAATCACACCAGACTGAAACGAGTACATGAATTTTTATCATATGAGTTGTCTGATAACCGATACACGGTCGTGTTTAAGGGTCAACAAATTGTAATTAGTAAAAATTCTGGAATCTGAAAGCCAAGGCAGGAATACTATATACCAACCTGAATATGCAACATCAACTAAACAGGTTTGCTGCACCTCTGATGGATGTGGGTAATCGGTTACTCTGTTCAATATTTCCTAAATGCTCTTTAACTTGAAATGCAACGCAATAAAAGCTGCTACGCACTACAGGGACTACGCACTTAAGGGACTATTAAAGCACAGATTTAGCAATAATATTTAATTGTTACTTTGGAGTATCGATATATCTATCTTGATAAAATAATAATCATCAATGAGGTTGAGCATGATCACGAGTGCCAGATGACTTGCAAAGGAGGAATTTGAATAAATGCAAATCGAAGATCTTTGGGGGATTTCTAATCTAATTCTGTTTATATGACATGGATGCTTTAATTTCAGCAAATATTTTACATGTCTATTATTCAATATTACGCTTACCTATTGCAGAAGATGACTGATTCTGTGATGATGACTGGTTTTGTGGTGATGCAGTAGGTGTAACGATCGTGTAAATATTTGTTGATAGCCACGATCTCAAGGCTCGAACGTCGGCGAATACATCATAGTAGTAGGGCAGGGCGCATCCAAATGACCAGCTCAGGACCCCCTCGAGATACCATGTACCATCAAATTCGCACACCAAGGGTGCACCATTATCACCAAAACACGCACCTATACCTCCATCATCTAAACCAGCACAGAGCATGGAAACGTCGATAAGGCCAGGATAGGAATTCTCGCAACGTTGTTTTGAAACTAGTGGCAAAGACACTTGCATCAATGTATTTGGTGGGTCGCCCTCAGGGTCTAACATTCCCCAACCAGTTGTCCAGCACCTTGTGTTAAGGTTGTCAAAGGGAAGCTGATGGTTGGTATCTGGCAAACAAACAAGACCAACTCCTTCTCCAAGAACAGCAGGACTTGCGAGATTAATTAAGGCGATATCATTGCTTCCAAATAGGGGAAATGCGTAATTCTCGTGAATGATGATTTGTGCCACTGTGATGTCTTGCTCCGTTCCAACGCTGCCAGCTGTTATGTAATGGGCTCCCAATCTGTAAAAAGGCCATGAAAAAGTATTGGAAGAGTTTTCATACTCCGGCAGCTTGAAGTTGGTTTGTCTTTGAAGGCTTGATATCATAATGAGAAATGTCGATAAGATATTTCATAAATTTAAAGCCATCAGATTTTGACACACGATTTGTATCATATTTTTCTTTACTTTCCTTCTCGTCCTATTGTCCCGGATTCATCTCTGTCATCATAATTTTTATAATCTGATCGTCATAATTGATGCTTATTTCTCCTACTTTTAGCGTTATAAAGCTTTCTCGGCGTTTTGAAAACTAAACTGAATTACAATCATTAGCTACCTTATCTTAATACTTGATGATATTAGTCCAGCCACGCAATGAGCCGCTGTTACCACCCAGTAAGTATCCACTAATGAACCGCCACAAAAATAATATCCATACTCGTCTGTTACCATCGCCTGCCATGGCCAGCTGTTTACAGGTGCAACTGTACCACCCACAATTCGACTCGTGCTTGGTCGGGAGCCACAAGTTACTGAACCCAAAGAACAAAAATACCCGTAACTATCCGCAACAAAAACATATATAAAAGTAGTGAATGCTATTTATTGATTGTACATGTAGTTGCTTTATTTTTCTCCTTTTAAAGAACTCTCTGATCGATAAAGTGAGGATTATTCAAAACACCTTGCGTGGTCTTTAATGAAGACAAACGCACAGAGGTCAATGGTTTTATTGTCTCCTACCTTTGGTAGTAGTGATAGTAGTTTCCAAGCTCTTGTATGGTTGTCCAATGCTATCAACGCCAAAAACACCCACGCGGTACTTTGTAGAAGGGTTCAGTCCTTCAATAACTGTGCTTGTAGTGTTTCCGGGAACAGTTTCTACGGCCAATATAGTGCCTTGGATACTTTTTACTTCAACTAAGTAAAACTTTGCAGACTGGTTAACGACTGTATGAAGCTCCGTCCAATTAAGGTTAAAACTTGTGAATGCGAGGTTAAAGATTGTTACATTCCATCCAGAAACCATCACAGCTAGGTAAATAAACAGGAATAGCGATTCAAAACAATAAGCAACGAGTAGTAGTAGTAGTAGTAGTAGTAGTAGTAGTAGTAGTAGTAGTAGCGGTAGCAGCAGCAGCAGCAGTAGCAGTAGCAGTAGCAGCAGCAGTATTAGCAGTATTAGCAGTAGCAGTAGCAGCATTGGTAAGAGCAGCAGCAGCTCTAGTAGTAGTATTAGTAGTAGTAATAGAGTAGTAGTAGTAGTAGTAGCAGCAGCAGTAACAGTAGCAGTAGCAGTAGCAGTAACAGTAGCAGTAGCAGTAGCAGTATTAGCAGTAGCAGTAGCAGCATCAGTAAGAGCAGCAGCAGCAGCTGTAGTATTAGTAGTAGAGTAGTAGTAGTAGTAGTAGTAGTAGCAGTAGCAGCAGCAGTAGCAGCAGCAGTAGCAGTAGCAGTAGCAGTAGCAGTAGCAGTAGCAGCAGCA